CATAACGAATTTGAAAAGGATCAGGTCATCGATGATTACCTCCAATGGATTCTTGCTCGTGTGAAAGAATGAAGCCTGAGTTCTTTATTTAATTGTTGATTATTTATTTCATATTCTTATATTATTATTTTTTTAGTCTATTTAACGTTTTATTGTTAAATTTATTTTTTACACATATTTAATTAATCCAATTTTTATATATTTTTATTAGTGAATTATTTATTAAATCCTTTATATATGATTTTCTTGTAACCAATAAATTTTATTTCCATTTCAAAATATTTAATAATAAATATAATAAATATAATTATGCATAATAAATATAATAAATATAATCATACATGACAAATACTTATTGATTACGAGTTCCAATTTTTCCAAGGCTTCATCATAAGGTTTTTAAGTTCTTTAAATTTTCCATCGGGAAGCAATCCTCTGAATTTCTTCTGTAAGTGAAACAGAAACACCCATTACACTAGTAATAATTATAATATATTAAAAATATTACATTATATTACATTATATTGCATTATATTACATTATCATATTAAATTATATTTACTAACCCAAGTAACAAGCCAAAACTTTGTTCAGGAAATCGCTCAACATTTTTTCCTAATTCAAATTTTCTATCAAATGCCCAAGAAGGAATCAATGCTCGAGATAATTCATAGAAATCTGTAAATTTTTTTTTTAAATTATTTAAATTATTGAAATTAGCTCCCAGGATGTTAACACTATCAAAATTATCATTTGAATTACTATTTTTAATCACAATTTAAATATGTATTGATCATTTCACTTTAATACAATATTATTTATTTCGGGAAAAAGAAAATAATTTTTTATTATTTATTTTCTTCAGAATTAGAAGTTATAAAGTATATATCTTGCAATTTAGTTAATTAGATGATAATTATTAGTCAGTTTCAAATGTTATTACTTATATTTTATTAAAATGAATGATTGCATAGTTTGCTTTTTTACAAGAATATTTATATAAATTAAAACGCTGTGGTAAGAAATCCTTATTCTTGGCATACATTTCTTGAATAAATCGTTATCATTTTGCAACCAGTTTTGAAAATACTTCGAATCTTTTGAATCTTTTTGACATGTGATCATTTGAGTACATCTATATCTATATATAGTTCATTTAATATCGTTTATTTTAGCTTATCTTTCGATCATGTGCATTATTTAGTAACTTTTATTATGAATGGTTTATTCAAAGTTATTTCTTTTCCTTTATGTCATGTGATTTTTATGCGAGGATAACAAAAAAAAAAAATAGGGCAAATTTTTTTCATGCGATTTATTATTTAAATATTGAAAAGATTATTTAATGTTTATCTCGATCCATATTGATCCAATCTGCATGAAATTACCACCATTTGATTCTTCACAATCAATGAGCTATAAACGCTAAAATATAATATCCGGTTTCTGAAATATATCAATTTAAGTTTTTGAATTTTTGACTTATAAATTATTAATATTGTATCGCGACAAAATAAAATTATAAATATGGCGTAAAGGAGTAACGTTACATTTATTTATGCCTAAATTGTTCTTGCATTTGCCGAAAATGATTTCGGCAGCCATAATTATTTCATATACCGAAATTTCATAATATTCATCCGATCTTGAGAAAGAAAGGAAAGCGAACTCCTGAAACGATACGGAGAAAGAAAGATAAAAAGGATACTTATCTTCACCACGACCCTCCTGAACCCGATCTGGAGAAAGAGAAGTAAAAAATATAAAGAAAAACCAAAAAAAAAAAATTCTTTCACCTCTTGGAACCCTGATCTGGTGAAAGAAAGGTAAGAAAATAAAAATAAAACCAAAAAAAGATACCTACCGTCGCCGCGAACCTCCTGGAATCCAATCTGGAGAAAGAAAGATAAAAATAAAATAAAAAGACACCCACCGTCACTGCAAACCTCCGAACCCAAACTGGAAAAAAAAAATTAAAAAGAGATACTTACCATCATTATTATGAGAGAGAGAGAACGTATATAAAATACAAAAAAAAATAAAAAGCTATCGATCGATCTTCCGATCTTCGGAGGATCAAAATAATTAAATAATTTCTCTCTCTCACACACATATGCCAAAATATTTTTGGCATTTCGGCATGCCGTAATGCCGTAATGCCGCAATTCTGGCTAATTCGGCGCCATGTAGTTTATAAATAGATATTGAAACTTTGTTATTTACGTTTTAAAATAAGTAATTACAACACTGGCCATAGGGTTACTTATTTTTTTTTGTTAAATTAAATTTCAGATAATCTTATCAGTTATTAAATATAAAAAACAAACTTTTGCATATTTTTGTTCAAAATCTTGTTGATCTTTTATGACATTTATAAATATTGTTTGGGTCCTCATCCGTTATCATTTCTTTTACCATCCGTTAGTTTTTCTTTCAATATTATTTAAAAATGACAAAAGGAAATATGCAGGAACAAAAAGCTATTACTGGTGGTGAAGTTATCGAGCAATGGATTACTACCAAAGATGGAGTCCCTATGTATACAAAGACTTGGAAGGTAAATATATTTTCATTTTTTTTATCGAAAATAAACATTCATTAAATTACATTATTTGATATTTAGAAGCTATTCAATTATTTTCTTCTTATTTTTAAATATAATTCATAGGCAATTTCTTCTCGCCCAATCGCGACGGTAGTTTTTATTCATGGAATTTCAGAACACGTTAATCGTTATGATTATGTATTTTCCAAATTTTCCAATAAGAATATTGAAGTATTTGCTCATGATCAACGAGGATTTGGACAAACTGCAGTTCGAAATAATAATCCAGGAGAACCGGGGAGTTGGGATGTGGCCTTAAATGATATCAATGATGTCATAATAGCTCAGAGAAAACCGGGAATTCCTCAATTTTTGATGGGTCATAGTATGGTAAATATTTTATTTATATGCTGTTGCTTGTTATATTGCACACACACATATATATGTCGTTATTTTCCATGTCATTTATGTCTGTTACAGGGTGGCAGTTTAGGATTGCATTACGCCAGTTATGGACCGGAAAAGGATAATTTGGCCGGTTTCGTCATTAGTGTTCCATCCGTTACACTTATTAGTGCATTAGCTAAAGTGGCTAATTTTTTAAATATGATTATACCAAATTATCACATATCACTTCCTCTACATCCCAAATATATGACTCATGACCCAGAGATGCAAAAACAACTTCGTGAAGATCCATTGATTTTTAAAACTGTTTCCATAAACACAAGTATGTCATATATAAATATTTATAATTTTTGATTATTTTCAAGTATTGCTTAAGAATTATTAATAATAAAATAATTTTATTATCATTTTTCAATATTTGTTTTTAGTTGCAACCGTGATACTCGAGGGAAAAGCATTACTAGAAAGTAAATACGTAAGCATAACTTCACCAATTTACATTTGTCATGGATCAGATGATCCGGTTATTTTCCAAGAATCTTCAAAAGAATTATATGAAAAGATCCCTTCTCAAGATAAAACTTATCGTTTATGGCCAGGACTTTATCATGAACGTATGTAATAATTTATTATTTAATACCGAAATTGCTGTTAATTATTGATTATTTATTTCAATTGTTAATTTATGATTTCAGCTCATAACGAATTTGAAAAGGATCAGGTCATCGATGATTACCTCCAATGGATTCTTGCTCGTGTGAAAGAATGAAGCCTTAATTGTTTATTTTATATTCTTATATTATTATTATTTTTAGTTTCTTTTACTCTTTGACGACACATTTATTTTTATGCATATTTAATTAATCCAATATATTTTCATTAATAAATTATTTATTAAATCCATTATATATGGTTTCTCGTAATCAATAAATTTTATTTCCGTTTCAAAATATTCAATGATAAAATATAATAAATATAAGCATACATAATAAATATTTAATAACATATAACAAAAAAATAATTAGAATAAATCATATATTATGGAAAATTAACCCCATTCAATCTTGCATCTCTCTTTTTATTCCAAGTATCAATGATAATTTCTTTAACTTGTTTTTCGGATTCCAACCAATTTGCTTTTGCTAATCTAGTCATTAAATCAACTTGAGCAGTGGAATAATCGAAATTAAAGCGAGTAGAAAAGCTCGCTGTAGCAGGTTCAAAATTAGGATCAACCTTATCATTTTGGAGATATCGCAAGTAACATAATACAAATTGTTTTTGCGCGGGAGGTAAAAATTCATCATTGGTTTTATCGGTTGGGATGAAATCATGAACTTCACAATATTTATTAGTCACGATACGAGTAGTTCTATTGAAACCTCTTCGATCACAGAAAAAATCTTGTACCTCATCAAAAACTTTATGATCAACGACACTGGTTGAACAATCAAATCCAATGACAACATCAATCTTTCTTTTTGGATGAGTTATGGGATACATGGGAAAATCATTTGTTGCGCCAGGATCGCCAAAGTGAAGTATTTCATTATTTTCAGGTCCAAGTTTATATGGTGGTGATGGATGAAGATGATATGAAAAATTATAATCATTTGGTTGTGGAATTGGATGGTGTCCTTCAAATACTTGTTGGTT